TCCTCCTCCTCCTCCTCCCCCTCGATTCTTCTCGTGGGCAAGCTGTTGTTGGGCCTCAGGGACAACCTCCTCCTCCTCCTCCTCCTCCTCCTCCTCCTCCTGCTCCTCCTCCTCCCCCTCCCCCTCCTCCTCCTTCTCCTCCTCCTCTTTCTCGTTCTCCTCCTCCTCCTCCTCCTCCTCCTCCTCTTCCTCCTCCTCCCCGTCTCGGAGGCTGCTGATGATGGTGTCAGACGCGGGTGGATGCGACTCGGTGGATGCGTCGGCGGATGCGACTCGGTGGATGCGTCGGCGCGGGTGGCGGCGCGGTCCCTTCTTCGCCCCCCCCGTCGCAGAGTGCGATGCGGCATCAGCGGCCCGCGCGCCTGGGCATGCCCCCCCCCCTCTGGAGCCTTGGCCCCCGGGCCATCCTCCGAGCCGCGCACCAGAGGTCACTGATAGGCCTATGTTCCACCACCGCTACCATGGGTAGACGGTGGAGAGGGGAGGATGGGGAGGTCCTCCTCCTCCTCCTCCTTCTCCTCCTCCTCCTGCTGCTCCTCCTCCTCCTCCTCCTCCTCCTCCTTCTCCTCCTCCTCCTCCCTCCTCCTCCTCCTCCTCCTCCTCCTCCTCCTCCTCCTCCTCCTCCTCCTCCTCCTCCTCCTCCTCCCCCCTCCTGCCTATGGCAGTGGTGGTGGAGACTCGGCCCAGCAGGCACTCCTGCCCAGGGTCACTCTTTGTGTGCAGCCGATGGGGGGGGGCATGCGGCCCCTCAGGTGCGCACGGGGCGCTACGCCGAGGCCCACCACTTCTTGCGGGAAGGCGCCTGGGGAGGGCGCCCGCGAGCAGCTCGAGAGGATCTGAACAGGGAGCGAAGGGGCCCCAGACCTCAGGCGACCCGAAAACATCGCGACACGGCCGATTCCTCATGTCGGATGGTCTGGGAGGCTGTGTCCGGGCGGGCTCTGGGCCTTGGGACAAACAGACAGGACCAAAAATCAGTGTGCGAGGCTTGCCCCGGGGAAGGGGTCGAGCGCCCTCGGGGCTGGCGAGCCCTGAGGGTCTGCGCACCCGTCTGCGAGCCGGCTTCTTCCTTCGACCCGACGTGCAGCACAGGCCGCAGCGATGTGCACGGCTGGTCCTGGAGCGCCCGGGCACCCTGCGGGCGCTGGGCCCCCCGAGGAGGCGCAGCGTCTTGCAGCGTTTCTCTCCTCCTTGTCCTCGGCACTCTTCCAGAAGGTTGGCGCCCCGCCCCGCGGCGGGCCACTCCGACGGCAGCCCGAGGTACTGCTCCACTGCACTCGAGCGTCTCGGCCTCGTGGTCATCCGTCTCCACGAGGCTTCACGAGGCGCTCCTCACCGATAGGAGAGACGGGAGGAGCAGAGAGGATGACAATCCTGTGTGCCTTTCCCTGATATCTTCCCTTCTCCTCGCTCATCCTCCCCCTCCCCCCCCTATCACCCTCTTTCCTACTGCCCTCCCCCCCCCCTCTCCGCTTCCTCGCCGCCGCGCCCCCGCCCCCGCAAAAACCCGCGGCGCGCTCCCCCCGCGGCGAGGCCTGCGGCGCAAGCCCGGCGTCGCGTACGCCTGGAACGCTCTGGGAGTGGCCCAAGCTCGAGTAGGACACTGGGCGGGCACCAGGAATCGGCGGCGAGCGATGATGGGGGGAGGTGAGAATCGGGGGCGGCAAGCGAGGGGTGTGAGGACTAGGGGGAGGTGGATAGCATGGCAGGGGCCACGATCTCTCCCCAGATTTCCTGGCGCCTCTCCTTGTTTCATTGCGTCCCTGCCCCCCCCCCCCTGGGCCGCGCACATGCCGCCGGCCATGATTTGCGCCCCCCACCCCCACCCGCTCCCGAAAGAAGGAGAAGACCTTCTCAGAAGGCGGTGGGGCTTCTCAGGAGCCGTCGCGATTTCTGAGCGGTTGTTTGTTGGGTCTTGCAGCTCAGAAAACTGTTCAGAAGGCCAGGGGACTTCGGAGCCTTCCGAGAAGGCCCGCCCCTTCTCACTTGCCCCCCAAGCTCGCCGCCAACAGGAAGAAGAAAAGCGGGCGTAAACATGAATCGGGCGGGTGGCAATGGGGGGGGTGGCCCAAATGGGGTGTGGAGAACAGGGCCCCCGACGGGCCCTGTAGGGCCCCTTCTGGCCTAAAGGGACCCTTTTGGTTCCCTGAAGGGGCCCCACAGCGGGCCATTTTCTGCACCCCTCAGCAACGTCACCCCCCATGGCCACCCGCCTGAATGAACATTGTCGGAGTTCCGTGCGGATTTCTCGGATCTGCTCCAGGACCCAATGGCGGCGCCTCCAGCGCCGCTCCTGGGGGGGCCAGCGCCGATACGAGATGAAATCTACATAAACCTCTGACAGTCTATGTGTATGCCAGTGTTTCTTCGATTGGAATAGCGAGGACCGAGGAGGTTTTAATTGTTTGGACGTTCGAGGATCGTCAAGTTTCGGAGGTTCGAGGATCGAACCACCAACGAGCGAGGCTCCAAGATCGAAGACTCAAGGATCGGGTGCTCGATGCGCTTGGACGTTCGAGGGATCGAAGGTTCGAGTATCGAGCAATCGAGAATCGAAGATCGAGCATCTGGAGGTCCGACGATCGAGTGCGGCTTTTGGGGGACGCGGTTCAATGGGGAAAACACACACAAAACAACACACACATTGTGGGAAAACACACACTGTGTGTGTGTCTGTGTCTGTGTCTGTGTCTGTGTCTGTGTCTGTGTCTGTGTCTGTGTCTGTGTCTGTGTCTGTGTCTGTGTCTGTGTCTGTGTGTGTTTTTTTTGTGTGTGTGTGTTGTGTGTGTGTGTGTTTTGTGTGTGTGTTTGTTTGTGTTTTGTATGTGTTTTCTGACCCTGCCGTACCTCTGAGAGGCTTCCCGCCGCAGCGGCTGGATCCGACCCGCGGTTGTGGCCAGCAGTTGTAGCCGGAACGTCGATTGGGCAGCTCAAGGGGGCGGGGAGGAGGAGGAGGAGGAGGAGGAGGAGGAGGAGGAGGTGGAGGAGGAGGATGGAGGAGGAGAAGGAGGAGGAGGAGGACGAAGTGGGAGGAGGAACGTGAAGTTTGGTTTTGAAACTTCGAAGTTGGATTCTAAAATCAATTTGTTCACGCTTCGCGTATCCCCACCAGCCCATCCAGAAGCCCTGCCCATGAGACCTGACGGAAAGAGAGACGAAGAGGCACATCTAGAGAAACAACGCGAGCAACCAGGGTGAATCGAGACATCTCTGGGAGCAATGGGGTGGCTTTGGAAGGCCTCTTCGGGCCATCCCTGGGGGCCGCGTGGGGGCAAGGGGAAGAGGAGGAGGAGGAGGAGGAGGAGGAGGCGAAGGAGGAGGAGGACGAGGAGGACGAGGAGGACGAGGACTAGGGTGAGGGCGACGCGGGCGAGGACTCATGGAACCATCTAGAGGTATTATTTCGGCTGCTGGTGTTGCTGGTGCTCTTGGGAGTTTGGGGGACCCTCTTGTAACCTTATCTGTAACCCTGGAAGGCTTCTTGGGATCATCTTGGAAGCCATCAATTGCAGGATTGGGTGGTCCCCAACTCAGCTCCCCCCTCAGGAGCCCGCAAACCGCTTCGTGGGGCTCTCTATGAGCGCTCTTGGGCACTCTTGGAGCGGTCTTGGGGCCGTTTAGAGCATCGTGGGAGCCATCTCGAGCCAGCTTGGGCTAGCTGGGCCATCTTGGAGGTCATCTTGGGCTCTCTGGGACCGCTCAGGGGCCTCTCGGGGCCCTCTTGGGGCCCTCTTGGAACCATCTTGGAACCCTCTTGGGTCTCTCTTGGGGCTCCCTTGGACCCTGGGGCGCCCCTTGGGGCCGTCTTGGTCGATCGGGGGTGGGGAGGGTCTTGGGCTTGCCTCCCCCTGGGCCGGAAGGGGGCCCTCTGGCACATCGCGGGGCGCCCCGTCCAGGTCCAGGGGGGGGTAGGGGGAGGGGTCAAGACTCCCTGCCTGCGGGCCGTCTCGCTCGCTCCCGCCCGCCCTCCCGACACGTACGTGGCGCCCGGGCCTGTCCCGAGCCGCAGCATATTCAGCAGTCGTCTTTGGATGGGCAGCTACTGGGGGCGAATCCGCCGCCGCCGCCGCCCTCCGCCGCCGCCGCCGCCGCCGCCGCCGCCACCGCCGCCGCCGCCGCCACCGCCGCAGCTGCCGCAGCCGCTGCCCCCACGGCAGCCGCCGCAGCCGCCGCCGCCGCCAAATGTACTCTGTATTGTTTTTTTGACAGGGATGGTGGGTGGGGGGAGGCCACATCGGGTTCGCTGCGCATGCTCCGAATTTGGAGGCAGAGTGTGCTTTGCATTGTTATTCCCCACATCCTGAGTGGGTTTCTTGCTTTCCCAGAGCATCCTCTCCTTCTCCCTCCCGCCTCCCGCCTCCCATATCAATACCATGCCTACCATTCCAGACTCCCATATCATACCACGCCTACCATACCATACCACACCATACCTACCATGCCATACTATACCCTCCGGGGAGGCCCCGCCTGAGCGAGGAGGGTATCGGAAACCCATACTATTTACATTGTTTCGTGCCCTTCCCACCTCTCCAGGGAGGCCCCGCCTGAGCGAGGAGGGTATCGGAAACCCATACTATTTTCATGGTGTCGTGCCCCTCCCACCTCTCCAGGGAGGCCCCGCCTGAGCGAGGAGGGTATCGGAAACCCATACTATTTACATGGTGTCGTGCCCCTCCCACCTCTCCGGGGAGGCCCCGCCAGAGCGAGGAGGGTATCGGAAACCCATACTATTTACATGGTTTCGTGCCCCTCCCTCCCCTCCAGGGAGGCCCCGTCTGAGCGAGGAGGGTATCGGAAACCCATACTATTTGCATGGTTTCGTGCCCCTTCCACCCCTCCAGGGAGGCCCCGCCTGAGCGAGGAGGGTATCGGAAACCAATACTATTTACATGGTTTCGTGCCCCGCCCACCCCTCCAGGGAGGCCCCGTCTGAGCGAGGAGGGTATCGGAAACCCATACTATTTACATGGTTTCGTGCCCCTCCCATCCCTCCAGGGAGGCCCCGCCTGAGCGAGGACGGCATCGGAAACCCATACTATTTACATGGTGTCGTGCCCCTCCCACCTCTCCAGGGAGGCCCCGCCTGAGCGAGGAGGGTATCGGAAACCCATACTATTTACATGGTTTCGTGCCCCGCCCACCCCTCCAGAGAGGCCCCGTCTGAGCGAGGAGGGTATCGGAAACCCATACTATTTACATGGTTTCGTGCCCCTCCGCCCTTCCAGCGGGACCCCGCCAGAGCGAGGAGGGTATCAAGAAACCGTATTATTTACAAGGCTTCGTTTCCTGAGCACCTGTCCTTCCTACTCCTTTCTTTCGTCTGCCCTTTCGTGCGTACTTACTCGTTCGATGAGCTTCTCCTTCGTGTTGATGTTGTCGTACCCCATGGGTCCCACGAAACCGTTAATATCTTGATCTGGGGAATTACGTTTGCATACTTTTACAAGGGATGGTGGGGGGTGCCCGCATTGTCCCTGGTTGGCTCCCAGTCGCCTGGGGCAGGGGGTGTATATCAATATGGAACAGTGATAAACCTCTCCCCGAAGGGGAAGAGTGGGTCTTGAAAGAGGAAAGAACGAATATCGTTAAACCACCTGTCGCCCAGAGGGCTGGCGGGACTCGGCCCCCCGGAGGCCTGCTTCCAGACGTGGAGCTGTCAGGCATGGATCCGGGGTCTTGGGCAGGATGGGCCCCGCACATGTCCATATACAAGGGCGCCCTCGATGGCGCGAAGTTACTCGCGCTTTGCGATTCGGCTCCGATTTCTCCTCCTCCTCCTCCTCCTCCTCCTCCTCCTCCTCCTATTCCGCCCTGGGAGGCGGCGCGAGAGCGCGAAGTTATTCGCACTTCGCGCTTCGCGCAGCGCGATGCGCGAAGTTGGGAGCCCTTGTATGATTAAGCCAGGACGTTACTCACCAGGGCTTGGGAGCATTCTACCTGGGGAGAGCGAAGAATGGAGCACGCTTCGACCCACGACTGCAGCTTTCCTGGGCGCGCCAGTAGTGTCCTGGCTTTTGTCGAAGTCCCCGCTGGGAGGGCCCAGAAACAGAGCTGGGGTGATGGAGAGGATGAGCCCTTCAAGGATCCAGGACAAGATTCTGAGCGGATTTTGGAGGGGTTAGAGGTTCCGAGGATCGACGGTCGACGGTCGACGCGAACGACGACGACGACGACGACGACGACGACGACGACGACGACGACGACGACGACGACGACGACGACGACGACGACGACGACGACGACGACGACGACGACGACGACGACGACGACGACGACGGCGACGGCGGCGACGGCGACGGCGACGACGACGACGACGACGACGATGGCGGCGATGGCAGCGAAAACGGCGACGGACGACGGTCGAGGAGGGGGTGGCCCACGCCCGAATGATAGATTGGGCGGGCACCAAGAGTCGGTGGAGACTAAGTCCAGCTGGAGTCCCACCAGTTTGGTAGCACCCAGATCTCCCAAGAGAGTCGCAGCGGAAGATTTTGTCAGTTGTTCGGTCTCTTGGAGCCGTCTTCGGGCCCCGGTGCAGTCAACAAACCCATCCGCGACGAAAAGCATGCTCTAGGGTTGCTGTGGTCGAGACCTCCGCCTTCCGCGTCGTGGGGGACAAGACAGCAGCGTTGGCGTGTTCGGCACCACGGACTGCGCTGGCAAGGTCACACGCATGGCATGGCTGGCTTGGTCCAGTGCGGTAAGTTCACGTCGTGTCGACCGACGGCGACCCCGCCGCGGGCGTTCAAGGTTGAACGCCGCCAGTGGCCCAGAATCGGCCTATACGGAACGATCGGGTGATCGTACGGCCGCCGATCGTTCGAGGTTGAACGGTCCCCGCGGTGCCAGGAACCAGCGCCGGGGTCGACACGACGCAAACCTGCCGTCGTAGCTGGATGTGCATGTGGCCGCGAGTCTATCCGGCGCTCGGCCCACAGAGGACCAGCGCGACACATCACCGAGGTCTGCCCCGGCGTTGCCGGCTCGGCCGGGGAGGCGCACGGGCCGGCCCTGGGCCCAGGTGGGGCCCCGCAGCGATCGGTGTTGAGGTCGGCCGACGCCCCTCCGCGCGGTGTGGATGCCCCGCTGGCGCGGCCGCGGAGGCGCACGCGCGGGCCCCGGAAGGCCTCCCAGCGCCCCCGCTCCTCAGGAGGAGGAGGAGGAGGAGGAGGAGGAGGAGGAGGAGGAGGAGGAGGAGGAGGAGGAGGGAGGAGGAGGAGGAGGAGGAGGAAGCTGAGGAGAAGGAGAGAGGAGGAGGAGGAGGAGGGGAGGAGGAGGAGAGCAGGAGGAGGAGGAGGAGGAGGAGGGAGGGAGGAGGGGGGGAGGAGGGAGGAGGAGGGGAGGAGGGAGGAGGGTGGAGGAGAAGGAGGAGGAGGAGGAGGACCCCCCCCCCCCCACCTCGCCCAGGAGATGCGCAAGCGCTCCGCGCCCTGCCCCGGCGGCCCCTCGGCCCCAGGCCAGCTTCTCCTCCTCCCCTCCTCCTCCTCCTCCTCCTCCTCCTCCTCCTCCTCCTCCTCCTCCTCCAGGCCACACCTGCGCTGGCAGCGCCATCCCTCGCGGACTGTGCCCGATGGGCCAGCGCCGTCGCCCCAACCCGCTGGGTTGGCCTGTGCTCCGGCACATCCAGCCCCCAAACGCAGCGCTTCCTGCAGCCAGACCTCTCCCCCGCCCCACCATGCTAGGCGTAAGTCGGGCCTCTCCTTCGACAGGGTGAGTATTCAAACAAATATGTTTCCGCCTGTAGGAGGACATGCCCGACCTAAGGGTAGGGGGACCCATGGCCCTTGCAACACCCACCAGGGTGTGGGCGCCCATTCGACCCCAGTGGCGCACCGACCGAAGGAGTGGCCTCAAGCAGCGCCTTGCTGCGGACAGGCCGCAGCCCCCACAGGATTGCGAAGCCTCGCTCGCCGCTAGTGTCACGGCGCCTCAGCAACGTACCTCTGGCTTCGCCTTTACGTCGGGTACCAACCAGGAAGGAACAGTCCAGACCCCTTCTCGACAGGTTCCAAAGAGCACAGTCCGCTTGGAACGACCTCCAACATGCCTTCCGCACGCGTGCCCTCCATGGGACCACTCCCCAGGAACGCCGCCTGGCGCGGCTTGCTGCTCACCGCTGGGACACCAGTGCCAGCCACCTCCTTTCTTTCACACTCCGTGTTTTGGTGAGAGCTCGTGGCAACAGGCTCCGCTGTCCCGGCCTTGGGCCGTCGGGGGTTTGCCCCGGGGCGGCGCCTCCCTGCCACGGGGCTCCGAGGATCGCACGCCGCCTCGTCCCCCCAAAGCCGGAGTCTCTCTACAGCTTCGGGAGTGCAGACGGGGCGCGCCACACCCTGGTCACCACAACCCAACAGGGTTCCTCTTGTGTGTGAAGACCGCTCCTGTTCCCTTCCTATCCCTCCTTCCTGCTAACTCGTCCCTCTCTCCAGGTATCGGACATTTCGGGCGCCCTGGTTCCGACGGGCGCACGGATACAAGAGTCTCAGCGTGTCTCCCGGTCGTCCTCTACCTGCGGACCGCACGGTAGGTTCGATTCATTGGTCCCCCGTCAGACCGCGCCAAGGGGCAGGCTTCCGCCACCCTTGCCATTTCGCACGCGGCCCCTCCCGCCACCGAGGCGTGGGCAGGGGGGCGCTGGTACCCTCCTCCCGCGGACGAGCGCCTCGCCCGAAGTGTTGCGCTCTCTCCTCCTCGCTCCTCCCTCCGCGTTCGCCCCTCCCTCTCCGCCCCTTTTCCCCCGCCCTGTCGCTCCTCATCCCCGTCCTTCTCGCTCCTACCTGCCGTTCCTCCCTCCCCCCCTTCCCCCCTTCCTCCCCCATCATACCCCGTCCTCCCCCTTCCTCCTCCTTCCCTCGTCCCTCTTCTCATTCATCCGTGCTCCCCCTCCTCCCCCAAGCCTTGCAGCGCGCGGGGTCTGGGGAGGGAGGGGGGTAGTGGAGGGGAGGAGGAGGGAAGAGGCTGGAGGATGACGGAGGACGGAGGAGGGCGAGACGAGAGGCAAAAGGCGGTGGCGTCAGGCGGAGAGATGAGGAGGAGGAGAAGGAGGAGGAGGAGGAGGAATGAGGAACGAGGAACGAGGCACGCGGGGAAGGACGAACGCGAGGACGCCGACGTGGAGGGAGGGGGCCACCACGAAGGCAGACGACGTGGGACGCGCCTAATCGCTCATAGCGGAGCGCTGCCCCGCCGGGCGACGGACTTCCAAGCCGCCATGGACTCCTTCGTGAGTGCCATCGAGCTGCAGCCGAAGACCGCGCTGCTGTGGAGCAACTCGGGCGCGCTGGCCGCGCAGGCGGGTGCGCTGGTGCAGGCCTTTTGCGCGTCACGCTCCTGCCTCTCGGGAGCAGGATTTCAGGGGGGAGGAGGAGGGGGAGGAAGAGGAGGCGGATGCTGATGATGATGATGATGAGGAGGAGGAGGAGGAGGAGGCGGAGGAGGAGGAGGAGGAGGTGGAGGAGGGGGAGGAGGCGGAGGAGGAGGAGGAGGAGGGGGGGTGCTACGTGATCGAGGCGGGGCTGTTCTCTTTTCCTTCGGCGGACGTCATTCGTGTTGGAACTCTTTTGGTGTCCTGGGGTCGTGGTGTCTAGGAGGAGGGGGAGGAGGAGAAGGAGGAGCAGGGGCAACGACAGTCCCGAGGGTCGAGGGTCGCAGGGGCTTCCAGGGTCGCCTTTGGCTTCGGGGATCGAGAATTCTTTCCTGCGCGTGGGGGATCAAGCATCAAAGGTGCCTCGAGGGTCGTTCTTGCCTCGAGGGTTATGATGTTCCAGCCGACTGTAGCCTTCACCACCAGCCAGAATTCCGAGCACCAAGAGAGTACTGAATCTTGAGGGTTTTCATGGGTCGGGCCCTGGGAGGCGATACTCGCTCGACACCGCTTCGGTATTTTTCTCTGGGGGCTCGAAACGATTTCCGGCATGTGGCCCTCAAGCACGCTGGGGACAGCTCGTGCTCGGCCAGCAGCTTTTGCGCATTGTGCCGTCCTCCTCCCGCCGTCGTCTTCGCTGCCTCCTGTGCCCTGCTTCTCCCCCCCCCTCTCCCGCGAATTCCAGAAAGCAGGTCTCGGCTCCGAGGGTCGAGGGCCTCAGGGGCAACGATGGGGTGTGGATGCTCTCTCTCTCTCTCTCTCTCTTGTTCATTTCTTCCTTTCTTTTTTTTTTTGTTTTCCCTCTCTCTCTCTCTCCCTTTCGCTCTCTCTCTCTCTCTCTTCGCTCTCTCTCTCTCTCTCTTTCTCTCTCTCTCTCTCTCGTTTGTTTTCTCTCTCTCTCTCTCTTTCTCTTCTTGGCATCGCTCGGACGTGTGCAACATTTTCTCGGCCAGGACCCTCGAGAAGGAGCTTGGCTCATCTTGCGGAACAAGACACGCACGACACCGAAACATAAACGGGGAATGGACGTCCGAGCGCCGGCAAGTATATGTATCTCCAGACCTGTTCGCGCCGTGATAAACAAGACTTTGTTATAGCACAAACGGTGGTGCTTCATTCTGTTTGGCCTCGAGGGGCCTTCGCTGGGGCCCCGGGGGGCCGTCAGAACATGGCTCGGGATGGCAACCTACAGTCGGGGCGCTGAAGAAGGAACCCTGTTCGTTGGCGAGGGGCTCCGTGTTCCTTGATTATTTCACAGCTCGCCTTTGGTTTTCCTCAGGTTTTCGATGGGAGATCGAACTTGAACTGATGGGAGAAAGGGTCCTCGTTCCTTATTTAGGGTTCCTTAGGTCAACGCCTCGACTGTACCTTGGGGAAGGGGTCGGCGCTTCCCCGACTCCCTGCACTGAAGGACCAGGACAGCGGCTGCCCGGGCGGTGCCTGCGTGGGGGGGTGGTGCCCTCTCGGAGGCCATACAGTCGGGGCGTTGAAGAAGGAACTCTTTTCGTTGGGCAGGGGCTCCGTGTTCCTGAATCATTTCACCGTTTGCCCCGCGTTTTCCTTGGGTCTTCGGAGGGACATCGAAGTACAACTTCTGGAGAAAAGGGGCCTCATTCCTTATTTGGAGAGGCCTGACGGCCGGTGCCGCCGACCCTGATCGAAAGGGCTAGGAGAGGAGGAGGAGGAGGAGGAGGAGGAGGAGGAGGAGGAGGAGGAGGAGGAGGAGGAGGAGGAGGAGGAGGAGGAGGAGGAGGAGGAGGAGGAGGAGGAGGAGGAGGAGCTCTGGAGAAAAGGGGCCTCGTTCCTCATTTGGGGTTCCTTAACTAAGTCAGCGCCCCGACGGTGCGGCCGGGAGCTGCCGCTCCGCGTGTCGCGCTGGCGGTTCCTGGCCCACCGCGCCGACCACGCCCCGGGCCAGAAGGCGTCGACGTCCTGAGCCTGCCCCAGCTCAGGAGGGGAAAACACACAGACAGTCAGAGCCCCGAGTCATCAGGGGTAACTCGGGTCAGAGCTAACTCGGGTTCGTTTTTCGGGATTCCGAACCCGATTTATCTCGGACCCGAGTTACCCCGGATAATTCGGGCGTCCAGAGCCCCAAAATCATCAGGGGCAACTCGGGTCAGGGCTAACTCGGGTTCGTTTTTCGGGAACCCAAACCCGAGTTACCCCGGACCCGAGTTACCCCGGATAACTCGGGCGTCCAAGACAGACACAACGAATCGTCGACTCCCAGGAACATGTGGGAAACTAGGGGAAGGGGGGGGGGGAGACAGAAGAACCCAGCACAGATGGGACAAGATGGGGAGTCCTGTTATTTTTGTGTGCATTTACTTGCGTGTCCCAGGGCCCCTTCACCAGCCTCCCGCCCCGCGGAGCGGAGCGACATGCTATCAGCTCGGAGGGCGTCCAATCAACCCCCATTGTGTAAGGATGAGCGGCTTCCCCAGGTTTACCCGTGCATGCTGGCCCCTTCGGCCCAGCAAAGGCAACCATCGCTGGCCAGCCCCCGTTCGAAAAGCGTCGACATGGCTTTCCAGGGTGCTTCCATCCTCTGCGCGCAGCCATACTAGGTGGGCCGACTGTACATAGTGTGTCGCCGGGGCCGCCGCCGCGACACGCTGAGCAAAAGCTGATGACCGTTGGGGAGAGGGAGACAGGCCACGGCAGGGAAAGGTGTTCGAGGGTGTCGGGCGCTCTCGTCGCTTCCTGGGCGTGCTCCTGTCCATGCGGTGCCTCCCAGAAGCTGCTCCTCGCCGACGGGCGGGCGGGCAGGGGAGCCAGGAAGGCTGAAAGGCCGCTGCAGAGCTGAGCCATCGCCCGAAAGCCAGCGGGGCAACGGCAAGGGGAGGTAGGTTCAGGGGGGCATGCGTCGGCCCCCCAAGCACCCAGTCGTCGCCGATAGGGGCCTGACATCGGCGGCGAGCGAGGGGGGAGAGTGAGAAGGAGGAGGCCCTCTCAGAAGGCGGCGGGACTTCTCCGGATCCCTCGCGCCCGCTGAGAAGCTGCCTGTGTCCTCGGGGACTCGACTCAGAACTCTTCCACGCCCGAGTGGCTTGCCCTCCCCCCTACCCTCTGCCTCTCTCGCATGCCGGCCAGGTAGCCATCCGGCTGCCCCGGATTGCCACACGCGGGA